ATGAATGAAAAGTGATTTTTCTGTGCCACTGAAGATGGAAGAGAGTTCATTATAGTATTGAAAAGAAGAATGCCAGAGGGCTTATGAAAGATCCATGGGTTGATGGCAGGAAGAGAGTCAGAAGCTACAGAGTTGCATGAGAATGGGGAATCCATCTGCTGCAGGGTATTATAAAGGTTAAGGAAATTGGTCGCAACCGGTTTGAAATGATTTTTGCATTGTTCTCTACTGGTGACGTGTCACAGAACTGTTGTGTTTTTCCTCCGTAGACACCACTAGCTCCCCCTGAAGTTCAGCAGCAATATTTATCAAGTATTCAGCACCTTTTAGGAGATGGTATGGTGCTTATTATGAGCTAACTACACTTACAAAATTCTACTTTTTTCTAGACTTGAGCAAATCATTAGAATAATTTTGACGCTTTCCTCCCTCTAGGACTGACTGAATTAATAACTATTGTTAAACAAGCTGTACATAAAGTTTTTGGAAGGTAAGATTCTATATTTCTCTGTGGTTAGCTTTTAAGTTTTATTGTGATGACTGTTCCCAAAACAATGAGTTTTATTAGAATCAAAAAAGGGAGGAGGTGTACTGACTGTACTGACTTTTTCCAAAACAACTTTTTTATTATAGCAGTCTATGTCTGCCAGTGCAAACCAATGTAGCAGATTGGGATCCTGTTACTTGTGAACATGTTATCAGTAGGAGAGCAAAGCATCATTATTCATTTTGCAATCAACACTGTAGTCTTTTTCCTTTCCAGTATTTCCCTTAAGCACACCCTATCTCTTCTGGAGCTGGAACACAAACTTAAAGATATCAGGAAAGTAGTGGAACATAAAGATTCAGATCAGATTGCATCTTACTCTCCCTTATGTCATTATCTGATGCCAGATGAAGAAAACCCCTTGGCTACCCAGGTACTTGTTTCAATTTCTTTCATCTACCTTTTTTCATTCTGCTTTTTTTTGTTTGTTGTTTTTGGGGAGGGAAGGGTACTTAACAGTCCTCTAGTTGTACCGTGGTATCTGTATCTTTAATAAATGGCGATGCCTCTTCCTTCATAAATCAAGTGTCCTTTCCTCTTTAATCTAGGCAAAGTAAAGTTGTACTTTCTTCAGATTTGTTTGGAAAGAAGTGTCATCGTCGGAATGTCAGCTCTGAGCTCAGAAACACAGCCCAGTTACTGCTTTTAGCCTGTGATGTGTGCTGTAACGCAGTGCAGCTTAGCTCAGCCCTAAGCTAAATTGTATTACCTTGCACTTGTGTATCAGCAAAGATCATGGACAATGGTAGCATCTTGGCTGATGCACAAGAAGGTGATGCTGTGCTGGAGTCATTTGTTGTTTGGGACGGAAAATGAACAGGAGTCAAGAGAGAGGTGTATCTAATCCCAGTTGTAACATTAAAGTAGTTTCCTAAGTTTTGTAAAGGTGTTTGTCTCCATGCATGCCATAGGTTGGAGAAAACTCATTCATAACTTGATCTTATACTAGTATGAAGAAGAAACAGGCTTCAGTGTGTGACTACATGCACTTATCCCTTTAACTTAAGCTGATATGCAGGGTTTATTTCCGTTTTGGAGGTCAGAAGTGGAAAAACTACTTTGCTTGATTAGTCTGGTATTTCCTGCTAATACTGTTTTTAGTAAAAAAAAAATCCTACAGTGACCATTTAAAAGGAAAATTAGAACACAAATTATAAAGAATCCGATTTACGACAATAAATCTTTTCTTTTAAATGGATTTGACTTATACATCTTGACTTAATTCCATGGTACAAAACTCTTCTATTTCTACTCTTATTCTTACGGTTGCCAATGGATTTCTTACTAAATAGTGTCTGTCTTTGCTTTTTCTAGGCCTGTGGACTCACAGAAAGAGACGTTGCTACAATTAAATTACTTAATGAAACTAGAGATATGCTAGAAAGGTATAGAGAAATATCCTGTATTCACATTAAACTCCTCCTCACAACTGTTGTTTATGTAAGACAATTACTTTCATATACAAAGCTGTCAACTTTCATTTGTGAAATGTGACTGCTCTGCTGCATTGTAGGCTGGGATTTTCAAAATTTCAGAGCTCTGAAACTCATTTATAAGAAATAATCCTGCCTTATCAAGATAGCCGGGACGTCCTTCCCAGTCAGACCCCCTTATCTCTTCCTCACCTTTTCTGTAGTTAGGCAGGAACAGAGGAGTACTTCTCTTCTGCTAAAGCGGGGTAAATTGAGAGTAATTTTATTGGATTTACTTGCTTTGATAAAATGAACACCAGTTTTGGCTTATCAGAATTTATTTTTAATGCAGGGGTTTGAGAGTGGTTGTATGCGTCCTTTTACCAGAGAGCTACTGAAGTGAGGCTTCCGTGATAAACATTGAATATGAGCGAATTGAGCCAAATGCCAAACTATTCTTATAATTTAGCTGCTAGAGATCTGGGACGTTTTAAGGATAAGTCCCTTCTATGTTATTACTTAGTAAGAAAGAGAGAAGTGAGGAACGCTTTAGATTTGTCTGGTTTTTAGTAACCTTAGGGTAGAGTGTAGGTTGTTGATTGGTTTGCTGTGGAGTTATTGGGGAGCAGGTCTTTCTTGAGGTAGCTGTACTAATGGCCTTTCGTCTGGGTCATACATCTGTAGCATTGAATACTTGCAGCGTTTTTTAGTTTGAAAAAATAAATCCCAGGAATCAAACCGTTTGTTTGTTTGTTTTTCAGTCCAGACTTCAGCACAGTTTTGAGCACATGTTTAAATAGAGGATTCAGTCAACTGCTGGACAATATGGCAGAGTTTTTTAGACCTACTGAACAGGACCTCTCTCAGAATGGCTCTGTAAATAGGTAAATGTTTTCTTTTGTTGTGGTTCTCCTGTGAATAATGCTTTGGGTTCACAGTGAATTCCAAAAAAGGCTACTGGTTTTGCTGCCTACTTGAAGCCCTCATGCTAGAAAGGATTCTGTTTCTTGCTTTTCAAGAATAAATACAGTCTCCTCACTTCACCCATGAAGCTGCTAGAATTCACATGAGGTATCTTTCCCACCATTACTTGCAGATCTAGAAGTAGAAATCAGAAGACCTATACTTCCCACTTTTTGCCAAGACTGCACAAGCAGAGTGCCTTTCTAGCTGAGGAGGATTTACCCCACTGGTGGTGACTACTGAAAGATGTACTGCAGTACCTCCCCTGTGAGGCCGTGAGAAAGACAGCGTTCCCCTAGCATTAGCAGATACGCTCTGTGTGCCCCAGACTCTGTCAGTCGCTGTAGTTCTCAAGGAAGGTGGGCGTTACTGTGACTCTCCAAATACATGTAGCCAAAGCACCTACGGAGCTTTAGGTTCTTCGCTGGTATGCTGAAGAAGAGATTAACATTCAGAATCTTCTGCCTCTTCCTAGAAGGCTGTTTAAAAATAGCTTTTATTCTGAAGTTAACTTCGGTTTTAAACAGTGCAGTGAGAGTGTTACAAATCCAAAAGCTGAGTTCAAATCCTTGAAATATGATTTCTCAAATATTAAAATTAAAACCCGGAATAATAACTGGGTTTATGTACGCTTATTTTAACAACTGATGGCTCTCAAAGAGTAATGTTTTTATTTATATATATATACTATTTACATCACTGAAAATATCCCAAAGGCTGTAGTTTGGCTGTCTGTCCTAAGCCTGGTTTTGAGTTTGAAATAGTGTGAGATTGTAGAGCGGCACTTCTAACAACTGTTTACACACACACACACACACACACACACACACACACAGACTCTGGCTAAACAATATTTATCTTGCATGAAAGCAAGTATGAAACTGTGCGCAATAAGAACACCAATTGAAATTTGCTTTGGTGGTACTTTATATTAAATGAAAGACTTGATAGGGAAAAAGAACTTCATCTGTACGTTTTAGTTTGCAGTCTTTCAACTCTTACTTCAAGTAAATACTAATTATTTAGAATTGTAATAATCACAGTTTAGTGGCTTTACTAATGTCAGAGCAGGTCTAGGTCAATATTTTTTCGTTCTTTTCTAGTCTTTCCAGTGTCAGTCTTCCTTTAGCCAAGATAATTCCAATAATAAATGGACAGATCCATTCAGTATGCAGTGAAACACCCAGTCACTTTGTTCAGGTAAGAATCTTGCTTATTTAAAATATCCCAAATAAAATTTTGAAATGAACATTGTATATTTCTTTTCAATAACATAATTCATTGTTTAATTTCAGTGGCTTCAAAAAAAAAGTAGAAACAATTGGCATAACTTAAACTTTTTGTAAACTTGTATCTTCCGAAAATATGCTATTTCTCTAGAACCTCTTCCCTCTGCTAAACTGTGCAGGAGCACACAAAGGTCTCTCGACTTGGTTCTACTTGCAGTTCTGCCCATAAACCTTTCGAAAGCAAGAAATTTGAGTTAGATCTCTGTGGGAGTGCCAGGTGCTTTTCTCATGATGAATTATGTATGAATTCTACATGATGAATTGTATAGATGCGGCACTTAGGGACATGGTTTAGTGGGCACGGTGGTGTTGGGTCAACGGTTGGACTCGATGATCTTAGAGGTCTTTTCCAACCTTAATGATTCTACGATTCTATGTACTGCAGCAAAACCAGAATAGTGGTGGAGGTGTTTGCTAAGCAAATTTATTCTTTAAATTTCTTCCAGGACCTGTTGATGATGGAACAAGTGAAAGATTTTGCTGCTAATGTTTATGAAGCTTTTAGTACCCCTCAGCAACTAGAGAAATGAACTGCACATTTATAGGAATAGATCCTGTATTTATAACAAATCTCTTGTGACTACTGATGAGACTTGGGTTAATTTTATAATGGTGTAGGAGTGCTAGACCAGCAGAAAGAACATTCTGAAAAAAGTGGGAGTGAGCCCATATTTGTTCTAATTCTAACAGAATTCTGTTTCAAACACCCATTAAAAATATTCTTGTTGAAAGAATTATTGTATGTAAAGACTTTTCTATTAAAAAAGTGGTTAAACTCTTCCATAATTAATTTGATTATTTTATTGCATCTGAAAGGCATCTGGTGGCAGTATTACAGCACATTACTAAAAAACCCATTTGTTTGCCTGGGGTGTGCAAGTTTTGGAAAAAACTAATGAGAATGATCTAAGAATAGCACAGAGTAGCAGAATGAAGTCAGGCTTCTTTCTTCTTCTCCCAAATTTTTCTTTTTATAAAGGAAAACTTTTTTCCCTTAACTTTACCAATGTTATTCCAAAGAGTCTCTCATTCTTCAGAAAGCCTTTGCCAACTGATGCACGTTCCTCTTGAACAAGCTGGGGGGGGGTGCGCTCTCTGTTACTTAATACTAAAGGAATGTGGATTTTTAGAAGTTCTCTTGTTTATGCTGTTCAAACAGCTATGCTGTACACATTCACTTGTAAATATTTTATCTTAATTTGTATTAATTTTGAGCCCAATTGTCTGTATTGTAATAAAATATTTTAATGTAAGATTTGTGCGAGTATTCACGTTACTAGCAGGAAAGGCAATAACCTCATTTGGTCCATCACCTAAAATCTTGACGTAGTTGAAAGAGTAAGTTTAACTTATACAGTAATAGTTTTGCACTTGTTAACATTACTCGGGAAAAATAAACCTTTGATCCCTACACTGAAACAATTCATGCTGCTTGTTGTCCTATACCTCCCCCTCTTTGCAAACTTCATACTGCGGGTCTGTCCCTACAAATCTTGACACGTTATGAGTCTGGGAATTTTTCAAGTTGGATTCAATCATCTCCCCTCTGCTTAAAACGTTGTCTCTCTGCCAAAGTTGAGGATCCCTAGCAACTCCTGATTATTTCTCTTTTTTTAAAAAGTTAGTCATTGAAGTATATGTTTTGTTTAGTAGTCCGCAGAAGGCACCCTGGTAACTGTAAAAACAATGGCTGTAAACAACAGTCAGCTTTAACCATGTAAAATCACACAAAACAGAAAAAAAAACCCTCCCGCTTCACTTGTATCCCAATAATGGATAGAATTACTCAACAGTAGGAACAGATAAAACTAATGATTTCCATGACGAGAAGTGAAGATGTACATATGCATTGCCTCCATGCATTTGTGATGAATTCCTAACCCTTACAGGACTGTTCTTGCAGATACACTACCCTCCTCAGCTAAAACCACCAGCTGCCAGTTGTTGCACACAACTGGAAAAAGTTTATTCTTTTCTCCAAAACTGACAGTTTTTACTGTACAGTTTTGTGGAAGTCAGTTCTTCAATGCAAGAAATCTAACTGCTGTGCATTTGAATGCTGGCTTGAGCTAGCTTTGTTCCTTCTCATGACTCTAAAAAGCTAGCGCCTGGTTTTTTTTCCCTCTGTTCTTCACATAACTTGGCAAGAAACTGACTAAAAAAAAATGGAGAGGTCAAGGTAGACGCTCAGTTTTTCACACAAGTTCGAAGAAAGAAACTGCATGCGGAGATCCAACTATCTAGTGCTAGATTTCATGTGAGCTTCATTCCATTCCATCCTTTAATAACAGCCCGCCTTTCAGAAAAAGAGTGAAAGAAGTATCGATGTTTCTCTGTCAAGCAAGTAAGAGTTAGAAACCAGCGATGAGAAACTGGGCAAAACGTCAGCATTCCCTCCTACCCAAGGCTCCAGCACTCTATGGCTCAGTTTATGTCGGTCAGTTGCAAAGTCCAGCCCCACTGACATGGCAATTGCTTAGGAGTTAATTGAGGTAGAGCTATCGCCATTCCCTTTTCTCCCAGTGCAACCCATTTCAGCAGTTCCTTGTAGCCAATCAGCTTCACCTGAGGTAAAAACATACACCACAGTTAGAACAGTGCCTTTTCAAAGTGCACATAATTGCAAAATTGACAAACGAAATGTTGTTCCATAGCTACTTTACTATTCAATTATCCTTAAATGCCACTTATCGACCAAATGAATGATAAAACAATGATTAAAGGTAGAAGAAAAAGACTTGCAAAGTAGATAGGTATGTAAGCTAGTGATGCTGGGTCTTGAGAAGTACTTAGGTCTGTAAAAGGTACATAAACACTTTTCAGAAGTATTTAGGATGGGATTTGGGTCTAAGCAGGGATCCAGGCACCACAGTACGCAGCTTCGTATCGCCTATTTCTGAAATGCCCATTTCCCATGGTGGAACTTGTAGTCTTGAGTGAGCAGTATTTCTTACAGAGCGCAGCCAGGTATCTCAGAACAGAGCTGACCTGAAGAACCTCTCCACTAAAAACACACAAATAGGTTTTATGGTGAGACATTTACACCAGCTGGTGAAATGCTGAAAATAGTGGAGCAGCTTAAGGTAGCAGCTGAAGACCAGCCTCTACCCCTGAGGAACGTTACTCTCTTGTGCACAAATAGTCTAGATGCCTCTACAAAATTCAAGATGCATCTACATCAGTTCTGAAATTACTCTTTCTTCCTTATCGCAGAGCTCTCTTGGCACTAACTAGGTTCTTTTCATGCGGAACTAGACCAGAAGAGACAGTCTAGAAACACTCTTAATGCATTTCAGCAGCTAGTGGACATCCAGTGCATGAGACCAGGACAGAGCTAAGTGAATCCCCACCTTAAATGCACAGTGTTGATATTAAGTCCTCAGCACCAGCTGTTCTGCTCTATAAATCTGCTTCTATTGGGTTACGCTACTTGCTAGTGTAGGTGTGGCATCCCTGTCCTCCACTTCTGACCACCGCTTGCTCCGAGACACACGTCTAGGGTTGCACTGACTTACTATTTAGCATCCCTGGGCAATGAAAACCTCTGTGTGCTTTCCCTTTGTGCAAGGCTTTGACTTGAAACTACTGCACCATTACAGCAATTACAGTATCACCAAAGTCATGAAGATGGCTATTTATAAAGAAAGGTCACGCTGAGTTAGAGTCTACACAGGAAATGGGAGGGGAGGCAGGGTTTTTTTTCCTGCTACTTGGCCTCTTTTTATGATCCTTAGTTTGCAAGCTAAAACATACCCCAGCAACAAGTCAGTCTAACTTTGTTTGTTGGAGAAGAAACATCCCACTGGGAGGACGACGACAAGGAGGTCCCCGAATAAAAACAAACATGTTGCTGGGTCTCCTCCAATGTACTCTGTCTGAAGAGTTATGCATTCCCAAAGATGCCAGAAACTAAAATAAACACTGATGGAACATAACAAGTCCTAGAGGTGTTTTCCTTCAGAGCATGTTCATTTCTTGCACTGTGTGTTAAAAGCCTCACTGTTCTAAAGGGGAAGGGGGAGAGTGGGGGTGTGTGGGGGGTGTTGTCTTTTACCTGTGTTTCTCCAAGCTTAGCCTGTGGCTCACCAAGTTCCAGAGTCCCAGACACTGGCCAGTTAAGGAAGATAGCATTGACTTTGCCTTCTTTAGGGCTGAAAGTGTACCTGGTTGAAAATGGGGAACAGAAACGCATGTCAGTTTTTCCTTGCAAATTTTCTGAAGCGATACACAGAGTGCTTTCAAGACTGGAAAAAATGGATTTGAAAAGTCAGCATTAATTACATTTTCACACACATAACCATCTTTTCAGACAATTTATACCCTTTAATAAAGTACTGTTCCCTGAAAATATGTTCCAACAAACTAGAGGTAACAGAGACTATTAAAGAACTGAGTTTAGAGGTAAACATCTGTAGTAACTCACTGCTGCTCAGCCATGTGGGAAGGAGGTACCTGCAGGTCAGGGGGAATCATTAACAGATAACTGTGGGTTATATTCAGAAAAATATGGTAATTCACATCTATGCACAAACATACAGACATTCCACTAAAAAAAATTTAACAAGATTGTGTGCGACAATAAAGCTTCCACCTTGCATAGCTAGTTTTTTAAAAATTTAATTTCAGCAGACATTATCTACAGTATGTCCTTGGAAATCTTGTGGCATACGTTTGAAACATTCCTCCCTCCTTCCTTCATTTAGTTACAATTTGTTACTGCTCTTGGGAGTGGTTTAACTAAACAGTCAACAGTTCAGCATTTCAAGGCGAAAGCCAGATAGCCAAATCTTACTGTGAACAGGAGTAAAAAGGCCCGCTGAGGCAGAGAAGAGGGTCAAGACCAAAACCCTGATGGATCATTAAGGTGTTACAGCAGGTATGAGGCACAAAGGCAGGGGAGAGTCCAGAGACTGGCTGAATTTAGTGACTGAACAATTGCTGTTATCTTCCCATGCATTTTTACCTTAAAAAGAAATGCAGAATATGCTAGATTGATTTCTAGTTTCTCTCTCTCTCCCCTCTTTCACTCTAAACAGTGACATCAACTATTCCTTCGTACAGATAAACACTGCATAGCAGTTTTATATTTCTGGATTTATATTTTTTTCTATAGTTTCTGTTCCCAGCTACACTATGAAGCACAAGATCCCTAAGGAAACGCTTGCAACCTTCCCTTCTGCCTCACCATCATCCCAAAACTATGTTCTCTGACACCCATCATCTACCTACAGTTTTATACACACTTTTACGTGCAGTTACTTAAACTGACAAAAGGGTTAATTTCTTCACAGCATACAAAGTAAGACAGTGATTTCTGTAGCATCGAGTCATTAAGAATTTCAAAATTTCACATACACTGCTGCTGCTTTATGCAGCCTACACTTTGATTCAGTAGCCATACCACACTTCTGGTGTGACCGTGTCGTTCTGCGCTCTCCATGGTTTCGTTCCATAGATGGCTTCTCCGTTGACTTGCAGCCAGGCACCCATCTGCCTCAGGCGTTCCTCAAATATAACAGCGATGCGACCATCGTGAGTGGGCCCGATATTCATCAAGAGATTTCCTCCACAAGACACTGTTTCTACAAGTTGCTGAAACGTTTTTAAACACATACACAGAACATATGGTTATGGCTAATGAAATCAAGTATTTGAAGTTCTTTCTAAAGCCAGGCACACTGCTTCAGAACGATGAACTGAACGAGTTACATTACTGCTGCATGTTTAGGCTTTGGGGGTCATTCCAACAGCCAATGCAAAATTTAAGCTCCCATAAAACAAAGCTCTGCTGTCAATTTTTATGGCAGAAGACAGCCCAAAATACATTTTTGCACCAATGTCTGACTGAATCTACATTAGAATCAGATCCTACAACCTTTTAACGTTTCGACTTCTGCAGGCATTTCACAAAGGTTTTACCGATAGAACAGATAGATGATTTCTCTACACGAGAGGAGAATAAGGCTAACAGACGCCACTGCGTTTTTACTGAAGCTGAGAGAAGCAACTTCCTCCTCCTTCCTCTGTTTGATGCTCTCCCTATTTTACAGAGACATCTGTAAAACACTAGGAAGCCCTCTACAGAGTCCATAAATATTTGTGTTCACATCCACACTGCCCTCCAGAGATCATGGACCGAGATGCACAAGTCTGAGGAACAGACAGCTGGAGACGAGCTACTGAATGAATTTAAACCTTCTGCCTATGAAAAGAGGTTACTTCAATTTGAAATTATCTTTTGCAAGGACAGTACTAGGAACAGATTTGGATTAAGCAACAATAACAATCAATCTTCCCCTCACTAGCTGAATTTTGCAATTAAATGCATTTCTCTGAAAGATCGATCAGTCTTCCTTTCATTCGGTTTTCCTAAGCTTCAAATCTTTTTTTAATACCTTAGACTAGCAAAGGGAATCAATGCTCTATTAACACCAGTTGTCTGCATCTGCTAGTGTTTATCTGTCTGGCTGTCTGTAATGAGTGTGTTGGGGTTTTTTTCTTTAAATGAAGTGGGATGAAAGGAAAGTTTCTCACTACAAGGTAAAAAGACTATTAAGAGTTATAAACTGTTTCTAACTAGAAGGGGGAAAAGATGTAGCCTTCGATCAGGAGTTCCTAAACAGGAACTGTGAAACTGCAACTGTTTGCTTCTCATCAACTTAGAGGTGCGGTTACTAGAAAAAGTTAGTAGAAAAGGTAATGATGAGTCTATCCAGATCAATCTTTGGCCAGTTACTCACAGGGGAAACAGCTTCTAAGAAACTGGCTGAATTTTTACTAGATAATTTTTCTCTTAGTAATTTCTATAAAATTAATAAGAATTACATGGATATTCCATCCTGCCAGTGTTAGGCTGCAAATGAACAAAATTACTTATTATTTCATCGGTTCATTATTCAATTAAAATAATACTTTTTATAAAAATAGATACGTAATTGAAATGTTATATAGCATAATATAATGATCAGGAAGGAGAATCAGAAGTTGCAGGCAACTCCTTTGTCCCACTGTACCTTCACCAAGTCCTCGGTTGCGAGGTAATCGTCGAGTTGTGCGTTCCTCCTGTACCCCCATGACCTCTTGTCAATAGTCATACAGTTCTCCCACTTGTGAGGCAGGAGGTGGCCGGGGTTATACCGGTCACTACAAGTGTAGAAGCCACCATGTGTACAGGTGCTGCCAACTCCCCAGCGGTCATTGGTCACTACTGTGTCCCGGACGGGACTGGAAACAGAGAAATTTTCCGTTTATGATTTTTATTCTAAAAAACGCAGTCGCAGCCAGTGTAATCCCTTCCCACACACACACCCCTTCCTCCCAGAAACTAACATTTAGGATGACTTCTGCACTATTAATTTATTACAATTAGATTAAGTGCAATTTCAGGAATCCTATTCTCATCCTTTCCTAGTAAAAGGTCCAGATCGGCATTTCTTAGGGAAGTATGCTGCAGACTTTCACAGGAGGTCTGCCAGAAATCAGCCTGCACTTCACATCCACTGCCAGGTGTTCAGTCTGCGATGACAACAACGTACCCATATTAAATTATCCTGCTATCCTGTTTGTGCAGAAGACAATACTTAGGGAAGAATATGATTAGGTAGAATAGCCAATACCATCTTAACTGATTAATTTGCAAATGTGGTTAAAAAAGTATGAACCAGTCTTTTTCTAAAGCAAGCTTTGATAGTTCTAGGGAAGACCTGGGTTCTATATTTCAGGAAAATTAATATTTAGTTAAGTCCTCGTAAGTAGGGGTAACAGGTTCCACAAAACATACAGAAAATGAGACAAACTAGACACAGAGCAGAACTTCAGATAAGGAGCTAAACCAGCATCATTGTGTACCTATCATTATACAGCCAAGCCAAGAAACCAGTGCTGTTCCAGTAAGTATCTGGTGCATTTCCATTCCCATCAGACCAAATTATTTCTGGTTGGTACTTGGTCACAATTTCATAGAGTTCTGGTAATGATTTACTGGTTGGAAACTTTTTTGTCTTAAAGACGTTGGTGGCATCCTCAAGGAAGAGGGGATTAAACCATTCGAACAGGGAGTGATATAACCCAAAATGCAAGTCAGTCCTGCTTCTAACAGATGTTGCTAGTTCAGCCACAAGATCTCGTTTTGGTCCCACATCAACAGCATTCCAGTTCCAAGAATATTTGGACCCCCACAAAGTAAAGCCTGTAAAGAGAAAAATCAAGGGATAAGAAAGGAAAGCAGAAGAGGGGAAGTTATATTTCCTCCTTCTGGAAAGTAGCTTGCAAGTGTGTTGCAAAAAATAGATACAAAATAATAAAAATCATATATGTAATAATACTGTTATCATGGTATAGAGTATGCCTATAATCTGTTTATGCACGATGACGGTAGTCGTAACACCAGAACACCATGCCAGATATGTTTATGTATTTTTTTCTTCATACACATATGCATTTATATTTTTATATATATAAAGCGCTCAATTTTCCAGTTCTGTACTGCTTAGGTTAATTATTCCTTCTCCTTAATTATCCACTCCATTCATATGCCCCAATTAAATTAACCAAAAATACAGCAACTTTCGAGGCATCTACATTTTCACTGAATGTATCAAATGTGAACTGTGAATACACATTCAACAACCGGAAGATAAAATGCTCTCTCAGTTGCAGAATGCACAAGCTATCAATCATTTGCATTCAAAGACTGTTCTCCTCCCTCCTGTTTAGATCTTACGCAAATGTTCACTTTTCATTTGTCCTGACATTTATAACAGCTCAATCAACTACTTGGTACATGTATATAGGCAGAGTGCAAAAAGAAACAGCTTCTAAAATATCAGCGTTAAATATCAGGAGGGATTTAACGTTTCAGACATCCAGCAATCCAGCACAAGCACTTCCAAGTACTACCGCACTGCAGACTTAGACCACTGCCGGAAGAGCTCCACTTTCACCTTCAAACTGCTTTATACCCATTGCCTAATAAATCTTGCAATCTTTTTGTGAACTGGAAACATGTAATTGCATCGACTAGACAAACAAGCTAAAAATTCATGCCCCAGGCTACAGGACAGACTAAATGAATCATGGTTCTTTTGAAGTCACTGGGAATTACACCACGGGCATCATCAGGATCAAGATTTTATGCGTGTTAGAGCTGAGATTAAAATTCACAAGTTACTAGTTGCCAGTCTTGAACCCACATCTCACCAAACACCAACAACATTCACCAGATGTACTGTCATATTGCATCTTAGTATATTACACTTTCTTTGCTACCATGTTTCCTTCCAACCACTTTCTCTTCCTTTACTTTTCTCTGCAGAGTATCTTACAATTACAGTGCCAAAAATCAATCGTGCCTGTAAAGTTCCAGACCTGGTTCAAGGTTTTGGCTTCTATGCACTGTATCAGGAAGAGCTATACCCTGTGTACGTTTCTAACTCTGAAGTTGACTCCTGGAACATACTCCTAAATTCCTTGGAAAAACCTATGGAGCTCATTAACTGCCCGTACACAGCAGCTCTCCATATATGAAGCAGTGCAGAATTCACTGTTGTGGTTCCTTGAGCAATAAACTGCACAATAAAAGATAAACTATGGCTGCTGCAGGAAGCTCAGCTTCCCCCACCGCTTCAGGCTGTCTTACCTACAGCAAGAGAACAATGGCACAGTCTATTTCTCCTTCTATGCAAGCTTCATGGCCGTAGCATTTGTGTAAGAGCCAGGAAAACACACGCACATTTCTTGGGTGGTTTGTTTCCTCTTTGGCTGGGCTGGGGCAGGTAAGCCTGCCCGGCTTTCTCTATCTCTCTTAGTAGGCAGGAAAGTCACCTGGATTTTTCTTCTGTTGACAGAAATGCATCAATTACTAACATTCACAAACCTTCCACTTACCTTCATGATGTTTTGAAGTTAAGACAACGTATTTTGCACCTGAAGCCTTCAAAATATCTGCCCACTGGTTGGGATCAAAGAATTCTGCTGTAAACAGTGGCCCAAAATCTTCATAACTAAACCCAGGTGGGTAATTTGCCTCCATAAATTTCACGTAGGGCTCTCTCTTTTCCTTCTGCCAGTACCACCTACATAATACAGAGCAAAAACATGTCTGCTGGTGTATTTTTAGACAAAGAAAAGAGAATTGAAATCATCAGCTTCTATTTGTGTTCACCCTGAGAAGCACATGCACTTCAGGTACATGACACTGGCAATGGGGTAAAACTGCTTCAGAACATAACAGTATTAATTATCAAAGATTTCCTTTTGTCTGTCCTCTTTCCCTACGCTCTGCTTCTTTCAAGCACTCCACTTTGGAAAGATCCCAGGATTTCATCTGGAGCAATGTCACAAAGCAACTACACTTGGCAGTCTTACTGAGTACCCAAATCCTGAAACCATACTAGAGAGCACAGGTACAGGGTCAAAGTGAGCAGCTCAGGTGGCACGAGGAATGCACTTCTTCTGGACTAACAACTCACCCTCCTCAAGTCTCACATATCAGCCATCAGGCATCTCTGCTCTGCCCCCCACACTGCAACACCTGCAACCCACAAACATGCGGGCCAGCAGCTTTACCTCTCTGCTGGTCCAGAGTCCTCTATGCCAAACGCAACTGAGTGACCTGATGTGTGAGCGGATGCCCACGGTCCCCGAGCAGCAGAGAGCTGTGACTGCAGAGCACTGCAGCTGCTGCACACGTGAGGCTCTGAAGCAAAGGTACCTGACTAGAAGGCATGTCCTCCAACAACAGCCTGCCTCTGCAGGGACCCCACACACTAGAAATGCACCTCCGTCACAGGCTCTAGCGTGCAGGCACACACCTACCTCAGTCCACTGTACCAGTGCACGCAGATGTAGGAACCAGAAGGAAAAATAAGCCGACAACCTCTTTTTGCATCCCACCTAGCAAATGCAGGGACAGTTTCTATCCTGTGTTTCCCTATCACATCAATTCCTGATCCAGTATTGTCACTATTCCAACCAGTCTAGTCCACAGCAAGGTTTGGAGCTTTGCTGTGGTCCGAGGGTGGTCTCTCCCCATCATGATGGGCAGAGATCATAAATCACCAATACAGCACTATCTATTTTCAACCTGCTCCATCCCTCCCCTACCCAGCAATGAAAGAGGAACTCCAGAAACAGCATGCAACAGTCCTTACGGCATAAACAGCCTTATGGCTAGAGACCTTCTAACAACAACATACGTTGTGACTGCTAATGCTTACGGGAAAAGGGTCTGAAAGCATTCACCTTCCTATGAATGAAGCCAAGCAGCAAAAATCCTGTTGGCAAACTTAGACATAAATGAAAACAAATTGAAAGTGAAGGAATAAAACAGGCCAGAATCTGAATGTTCGAAATGTGTTTCTCTCTCCTGTCCTGAGCCGGACTCTGACCTCAGTTCTGTAAGACCACAGTAACCTATGGATATTGTTGTAACCTTCCCAAACAGACTTCAGCACAAACAAACATAATCTCTGACAGCCAGTTGCAGGGGCGGGGGGGGGAGAGAGGAAAAGGCCAGAATCTGAATGTTCGAAATGTGTTTCTCTCTCCTGTCCTGAGCCGGACTCTGACCTCAGTTCTGTAAGACCACAGTAACCTATGGATATTGTTGTAACCTTCCCAAACAGACTTCAGCACAAACAAACATAATCTCTGACAGCCAGTTGCAGGGGCGGGGGGGGGGAAGAGAGGAAAGAAGGAAGATGCTGAGACGGCCTCCCTCCATGAAAGAACCTGAAAAAAAACCTTTCTGACTTTAAAGTATGTAATTGCATAAAGAAACAAATAACATCCTTGCTTCTCTTCCTTTGTCACATTGTTTGCTAACAATGTGAACATTTCTAGTCTGACAGGATTAGGTTCTAGAAACATCCTGACCAAGGTTATGGAGCTCTGAGGGAAGGAGGACGGGCTGTGTGATATCAGAGTTTATGACCTTATATTTGAAGTTGCTAACACAGGACCGCAGTCATCTGACTGCGCATGCTGCCAGAAGGCCCTGAAGCAGCTTCACACCCACATGCCTAAGGATGGGAGGCAACAGGGACATAAAAAACAATTTCATCAACTACATTAGGGTGTTGTGTGGTCTTTTTAGAACAACAACAACAACAAAAAAAAAGAATGGTTGAGCCTGAACCTGTGTACCAGTATCAGAGCACAGCACTCAGAGTAAGGCCTGAACTCAAAGTTAGCCCCCCCCGCCCGAAAGCCAGTAATTAGTAAACAGAGTCCACATTTAAAAAACTGCTGAAACCCTTGAACGTAGTTCTGAAAAGTGCGGGTCAAATATTGCCTTCAGAAAACTGTGGTTTGTTTGTATTGATGTTGGTTTGTTTTACGAATATTGCATTTAAGCTTTACTATAGCTGTGCCACAGAGCTGCTATCATCTTCATATTATAAATGATAATGTGACTCACTCGAAGTCATACAGGAAGTATTTGGTAGAGCATGGAAAGAGGATAGCAAAAAAATGCTTAGAGCCAAAGGGCCTGAACCAGTGAACGCTCACAAACCAAACGTTTTATTCAGCCTTTGAACTAAAATTTGAAGGATCAGAGCTTTAGGTTCTTTTAAGTGGAAAGTACTCTTTAATAAATATAATAATAAAAAAGAAGAAAACCACCAACAGCACAAAAAGTGCATGAGAAAACTGCAGGCAATTTGCCAAGCAAGAGCAGCGATGTAGGGAGCGATGGACTCCCACGCTCCCTGCAGATGGTGCCTCGGCCCTCCAGCAAGAGCTGCTCAAGGCTCTTTTGGGGAGGCTGGGAGATCCCCAATGCTCGTCCCCAAAGAGCCTGGGGAGAGCTCCTTCATCGCAGCCCTGGAGAGGTCTCCCTCTGCCACTCAACCGCCTCTTTCACTAATGCTGTGGAAACCACATCTTTCAGCTCTACAGGCTCTCTGCTTAACTCGGTTAACATTAGCCAACATATTCAAGAGTTTTAGGGCTGGGCAGACAGAGTCAAATGTACCAGAAGCGCATTAAACACCGCTTCCTTCATAAACGGTGCCATAGAGTCCGTGGTCTCACTGGCCAGCCCCAGGTGGAAATAAACCTCTTCCTACACACCTCAGCTCCAGGGTCAGCCTGCAGAGGGGCTTTAAACCTAACCATGGCTTTTGAGGGGGGGGACACCAAACCAAACCCCGCCTGCCCCAAGAGCTACTCTCC